AAACAAACAAACAAACAAACAAACCAAAAAACCCAAAACAAAATGGCCAGGGCCTAAAATTACATGGCTAAGTACCTGACTGACTCCTAGGGATCAAATTCCAATACCAAAGAAACAAATAGCCAATAAATCCATGACACAATAGTCCACTAGGTAAGAGGTATAAGAGGTTCCCACCATGTTACTGACTCAAGGACCTGTTTTACATTGTTCACTGCATGAACATTAGTTCATACACACTTGGTAGAAAAGGTAGTTTGGTAACACCAAAGTTTTAAAAAGGTATGTTAGGCATGATGGCACATACCTATACACTATTACTTGGGTAGCTAGGGCAGAAGGATGGTGAGTTTGAGACAAGCTTAATACATAGTGAGTTCAAAGTCAGCCAAGGATATGTAGTGAGGACCCATTTCAATAGAATTTTTAAAAATATTTTTATTTTATGTATATGAATGTATTGCCTGCATATATGTAAGTGCATCTGGGTCATGCAGTGCCTACGGAGGTCAGAAGAGGGCATCAGATCCCCTGGAACTGGAGTCACAGGTGATTGTTAGCCACCATGTGGGTGCTGGGAACTGAACCTGGGTCCTCTACAGAAGCAGCCAGTGCTTTTAACCACTGAGCAATCTCTCCAGCCCCTCAACAGAACTTTAAAATTTGCCCTAAACTTTGATCCAGACACTTCCCTTGCAGGAATTTATCCTTCAGAACATTAAAAAAAAAACAAAACTAAAAGCACAAATGTGTGCATCAGAGTCCTCCAGTAGGAAAACCTGCAAACACTGCGACCCGCTTTCCTCCCTAGAGATTCTTGCGAAGACTTCAGTAGCAGTCCTGGGTACCAAACCCCACCTGCACCGTGAGTTTCTGCAAAGGTTACAACTGAAGACAGAAAGGCAGGGAAGAAGCAACTGAAGGCATTTTTCTGCAGTCCGTTTGGTCTTCTATGTCCACTGATGTGAGTACATGAAGGAAAATACGGACCACATGCACCTGGGCTTTTGTTCTGTGTCTGGGCGGTGTTGCTTGGAGGATATTTTACAGGAATATTTAGCACTGGAGATGTATAAACCCATAATTGTTTCTTCTGCCTACACACGAAATAAGGTAAGGAAGACATTTAGGACCGGGTTCAGTAACAGAGTAGGGTGATTTAAAGCACTTACCCAGAGCAGGCACTCGGTCTTTTACAGCTAAAATAGAACTATCTGTTAGGACCAGCCTCCAGTCTGCTACAGGCAAGGGCCTCTATTATCAGAGCCTTGGTGTCTCACCAAAGTCTCACTTTCAGTAGAGTGTGGTCTACCAGGAAACCACAAATGCTTGAAGAGTCCTGTCCCTGAAAACCAGACAGTACAATTACCCAACCACAGCCAAAGGAGTAGCAGATAAACCCCTGGTTACATTCTGGGAAAGGTCCACCGGACATCAGTTTTGAATGGATCTGAGGAATCAAATCCATTAAGATCTGTTAAAAGAAACCTGGACTGTGATAATTTACATTCCCAGCAACTGTGACAAAAAATGAACACGTTTCAGGTAATGCCAGCTCAGAGTACCTGAATACTTGCTGGTACAAAGACTGAGGCGGCCAGGCCTAGTGGAGTACGCCTAATCCCAGCACTCAGGAGTCAGAGGCAGGTGGATCTCTGTGAGATGGTGGCCAGCCTGGTCTTCATAGTGAGTTCCTGGTCAGCCAGAGCTACACAGAAACCCTGTCTCAAAAAGATAAAAAGACTGAGAATAGGGCAGTGTTCACGGGTAGTAAAGCTGCCTGACACCGTGAGAAATGGCCTTTATGGAACTCACTGGGAAAGCCGAAAGCACTGCCATCTGCAGAAGACTGCACAAAAACCTCACAAATACAAAAAGTAAAAAGTCCAGGATGGAGAGAAATATACAATCTAATTAAAACATAACCAGAATCCATAAACAAAACAGATGCTCCTTTTAGCTTACACTGGTCATCTTTATTTTTTTACACTACTCAGAAATCCCACACTTCATTAACAGAACCCTTCTTGCTGGTGACATTTACTCTGTGTGGTTCAGGTGGAAACGACATGCCCACATCTACCCAAATAGGGTTCTAGCCTGCATCTAGGGGTCACAGAACCTAGAAGCTGCAAATGAAAACACATGAAGGAAAGACAGGGCCATTACAAAACAATGTAAATGGGACTGGGGAGAAAGCTCAGCAAAGTGTGTGCTGCCGAAGTGCGAAGACCTGAGTTTGAACTCCAGAATCCACTCCAGATAAAAATCCAGGTATGGTGGCACACACTTATAATCCCAGCACTGGAGAACTAGACACAGGCATATCCCTGGAACTCACTGTTCATCTAGCCTAGCCTAATCAGCAAGCCCAGGGTCCCAGTAAGAGACCCTGCCTCAAAAAAGAGCAGTTGGCATCTGATGGATGACACCTGAGGTCAACCCCTGGCCTCCACATACATAGCGTGCATGTGTGCGCATGCGTGCACAGAGGCACATGTGAAATAGAAATAGGGCCACCACTTCCTACTTACAAATTTGCAGTTTTTCCCTTCCCATTTTGAAGCAGAATATATAGAAATTGTAAAGGAAGAAGGCAATGTCTTTGAAAACATAATAAAACTCTTCTCCAGGAACTTGATTAAATAATAATAATAATAATGTAGAACAGGCTGAAATCTTAACAGACCACCAGAATGCCTGTTCTAGCCTCCCTCTGGCATAGGGACTCAGGGGACCACTTGAGAGCACCTAGATCCTGCCTCCATGTGGTATTAAAAGAGTTATGCAATTTGGAAGTCTTTTACACAGACTCACTGAAGGGGCACCCCAATTGCCTCACCCTGTTCAGCATGGAAGAAGCCAGAGCTGTCTGAGTCCTGATTCCCTATGAGCAATTTGGGTAACCTCTTCAGGGGATGCTGTGATAAGAAAAGGATATAGGAATTGGCTAGGCAGTTAGGGTAAAAAGACCCCAAAGAAGAGTAGCCAGTTTTTTGGCAAAAAATCAAAATGTCTGCTGGGCATGGTGGCGCACGCCTTTAATCCCAGCACTCGGGAGACAGAGTTAGGCAGATTTCTGAGTTCAAGGCCAGCCTGGTCTCCATAGCGAATCCAGGCCAGCCAGGGCTACAGGGAGACCTCGTTTTAAAAAAAACCAAAAAAAAAAAAAAAAAATCAAAATGTCCTTGGGCCTCTTAGCAACATACTCTGTTCCAAAGGCCAAAAATGTCAAAAGTATTTGGGAGCTCTTATCTAATCCCTAAAAGATTTTAGGGTTACCTCTTCAGAGGGGGGAATGTTAGAGTAGCAAAAAGCCCCATTATAAAAAAAAGAAAGAAAAAAAGTACATGAAGTTGTTCAGGAAAAAGTGATGGGGGATAGGGGAGGAGTTGGAGGGGAGGGAGGGGGCATGGATTTGATCAAAACACCTTATATGCATGTATGAAATTCTCAATAATTTTTTTTTTAACTTGAAAAAAATGTAGAACATACTTCCATTTCTCAGCCCTCAATGAAGTAAGTAATTCAAACATGGACTGCCAAATGTTAAACCTGCTTAAGTGAAAGACTGGGGGAACAGAGACCTGTACCTTAAAAAAATTATTTTTACTATGGGGGCGAGAGGGAGTGGAGTATGTGCGTGTTAGTGCAGGCAGTGAGGGGGTTTCTTGGAAATGGAGTTATAGGCCATATTGTGAGTTGATGTGGGTGCTGAGAATCAAACTGAAGTCCTCTGGAAGAACAGCAGGTATTCTTAACCACTGAGCCATCTCTCCAGCCCTGGAAATACTCTATAACATCCCCCTCAGTGTCTAACAGGTGGCTGGTTTATAACTTGGTACCGCCACACTGGGACCAAGTACTGCTGACATTTAAGGTTAGAGAAGTCGTGACATAGAAAGTCTTTGTGAAAAAAGTCACCAATGCAGGAGACCTTGTGGCCCATCTTTCAAGGCTAACTTTAGCTGCTCTCCTCTGTGCAATTCCTCAAACAGAACATGCTCTCCTTTCCCACACTTGCTGCTGCATGCCTAATCACTGTTGAGTTTGCTGGGTGGGTCATGTTTGGTCACTAGAACCAAAAAGCTAAAAATGGTAAACAAGAAAAAATAACCTATTGCCATCTTTCCAATGTTACTGAGAAGATATCAACACAATTTATAAATAACAAGCTAGGCGTTGTGGCACATGCCTTTCATCTCAGCACTCAAGAGGCAGAGGCAGGCGGATCTCTTATGAGTTCAAGGCCAGCCTGGTCTACATAGTTGAGTTCCAGGCCAACTGGGGCTACAGGGAGACCCTGTCTCAAAAAAAACAAAACTAAAAAAAAAACCAAGACAGGTTAAACAACTTGTCCACTGCTACAGTTTCAGCAAACCAGGGAGCCAAGTTTCAAATTCAGGAAGTGAGAATCAGTACCTGGATCTTGTCTAATTTTAAACTACTAAGGTATTTCTCTAGGGGTAGCAAAGAAAGAAGAGATCAGACAGCCTCCAGGTTTCTTTCAATACCATTATTCTACAAACCTGTCTACTCAGCAGCAGACTGCAAGCTGGTACACCTGGTCACTGATGCACCTGGCATTGGCTGTTAGGAGAAGCTGCACTGGTGACATTAGCTAACTTGTGTGTGACTAGGTTCTTGAAAATGAACCGAGCAGGATGAGTGCCTTCTGATTGCTCATTTCCTTCCCTACTCAGGACTACATACACACTGTGGGTGACAGCACAAAATTTGCCTTGACTGTAGGTGGTAATGTTACAGAGCAAGATGATGAGTTACTTTATTGAAGCTCGGTGTGATGTGGCTCAAATCAGTAATCCCGGCACTGAGAAAGCTAAGGCAGAAGCGCTGCTGTGAATGTGAGACCAGCCTTGGCTACATAATGAGTTTTGGCCAACCTGGGCTATAGAAAGAGGTCCGGTCTCAAAATATAAACAAATAAGCAAGCAAGAATCATTTTATTCAGGCAAAATAAAAAACAGGCTCAACTCCAATAATTTCTCTAAATTTTTATTAAATATTTTTTTCTACAGCTTGACTTCTTGTGGAAAGGCTCTGAAGATGAACAAGTCAATGACATTTGAAAACAGCACTTAATCCGCATTACAGAGAAAAACAAAAGATCTTGGCACATTATCTTTGGAAAGATCTTTTGCAGACTTTTCTTCTAAAAAAACAAACCATACTTCTCTCACCGATGATGTCTGATGTCGGTCTCTTTCAAAGATTCCTACAAGACTGCTACCTTTTATTCACAAAAGCCTGGGGTTGCAGCTGTGCTGCTGATAAACAAGTGCAGCTCCCTTTACTGGTGCTGCTCATCTTCCACAGGGAGCCCCACTGCTTCCCTGTCCTACATACAAACCATTGTACTGATGATAGTTGGCCCATTATTCCACAGTCAAAGAAAACTCATTATTTTAAAGATAGACCAGTGATTTTCATTCTCACCTGGACAACACTTCTTTTTAAAGCAATTTTAATAATACCAAGATTTGACTTTCCTCTAAAGTTTTAAGAAAGAAAAAAATATAATATAATATAATATATAATGGAAATAAATAAAAAAAGACAACCCTGCTCAGGTATAATCCAAAATATGATCACATTCAGAAAAAAATTAAAATAGGATTCGGGACACACGTGTACACGCACACATGCACACACCCCAACATGAACAGTGTATACTTGATGTCCTAGAGGAGGATGTGCAGTATTCCTTACAATACATGTCATGGCCTGAACAAAAGGCAAACTTAATACTGCCTGTATTGGGCATTGCTAAAACTCCTACTTTTAAACAAAGCAAGTTTTATCTTCCTTAGGTCAGCCACTGCCTGGCCCAGTGGTGCAGCTTGCCAGCATGACTTTCAGTGGTTTTACTCCATTGTCTTACGGGCCAGTGTAACAATATATTGGCTCCCACAGGCTCTAGAGTTTCCTTCCTGCCCTCAGAGGCTCCCAATTACGTAGAGACGTGTAGGGGCTTCTCTGCCCATCACAGCACCTGGTGATGTCTCATGTACAGTGGAACAAAATAGTGTGATTTACCTCAGGAAAATAAAGAATTTACAGCCACCTGAAGAAAAGTGGTAGATGGTGCCTGTCAATGCATCATAAAGAAGAGCGAGGCCAGAACTTATTCTGCTCAGTCACAGCGACCCACACAACTGGAATACTGCAGTATTACCTGGCAGAAATACCACTTGCACTGTCTGAAGAAAATCTACAACACCAGGCCTCTCTGCCCTTCCACAGGACAACAAATTAAAGGCACAGGAAAATCCCCATCCGTTATTTCCAAAGGGGACCCAAAACCAAGAGAAAACACAACTCACTGAGAAGGGGGGGACAAATCAAAGCTGAGCTCAGCGCCTCCACAGCTGCAATGCACAGCTCGCTCTTCAGTGAGAAATGTACGTTCATGTTTCTAAAAGGAGCCCAAAATATCCTTATGAGACTTAAATACTGCTCGCCAGTGGTAAAGAGCAGAACAGATGAAGTGGTAACTTTTCCCAAAATATTTTATAGTGTTGGGGAAAAATAAATCATTAACGAAAAAAAAGGACTCAGTAGGAGGCGTGAAAAGATTTTAGAGTGTATTTTAAAAGAGTAAAAGCCCAACTCATTAACTTTAATCTGTAGATGTATACTTCAAGCTTCATGAAGCAGAAAAGTAAAGAGCTAAGACCCATAAAACATTACTTGAAGCTGTGGCAAAACAGTCAGCATTATTTCAAATGTACGATTGGTCAGCAGAGGCATAAACATGCACAGTCCAGCCACTCTTACCCTCAGTGTCAGAGGCCACAGTGTGGGGCAGACAGTAGTTTTTGTTTGCTTTTAAGTTACCAAACAGGAATACTAAAACTAAGTTCCTGCCCCTACTGACAATCAATATGCAAGGTACCAAGTAAGGCGTTTTCAGCTAAAGGGGGGTGGGGGGAGATGGATTCATTTCTAAACATCCTAAGATCTAGAATTAGAGGATTCAGATTATTGTGGTCCATTTTGTCTAGAGGGAATATGAACACATTTTTTCCAGAAAACGTACAAAATAAAGGTTATTTTTTATTTATTTATTTTTAATGTCAGATTCTTCCCATTCAGTACTATGACCAGACCACAGTTGGTAACTGACAGCCACATGCTGGGCTTCCTGCCGGGCCCCACCACTTTCATGTGGCCTGCACTCCACCACCCTAACTGAGGAGCTGGTTTCACTGATGGGCTTTCATTATTTAGCATGGCTCTTAAATGTATTGAATCAAATTTTAATTTTTCCGAAAGAGAAACTTTCAACACTTGAAGAAAAAAGTGTGTTCTTCTGTCTTCTACTGCAGACACAGATGTGCACACATACACACCACACCCTCTGTCACACCCCCTCTGCAGTGGCAAAGGCAAGATTTCTACCCTTCACTCCTTAGCTGCTTTTTGTCGGTCTCGTGTGCTCTTACTGTGGTTACAGGCACTGCACATGTTCAAAGGGCTGAAATCCTCTCAAAGTAATCACTTCAGGACAAAATTTTGCCTTCGGGAATTTTGAGTATTCAGAAAAAAAAGTGCAAATGGCTTAAAGAGTCTTCAGATTTCTATATATAATGACAATAGCACAGAGCCCTTGTGAACATGACGCACTCACCAACCAGCCACTGCAGTCACCATGCACTATTTAAAAATGCAGTCAGGAGTCTCTCTTCTGTACAGAGTTGTAGGATGAATCAGCAATATTCACAGACCAAACTAGTACAAGTGGATCGATCCAAATTCTTTAGTTTTTCAAGGGACAAATAAAAACAGTCTAGAATACAAGAGAAAATATGAAGAATAAGGCCACCAAATAAGCAATCTGCTCTTTAGCGCTGGCTGAAATGTCTGCTTGGAAATGTGTTCAGCCAAGGGAGCACAAAGGCTTGCTGACAGGACACACACACACACACACTCTCTCTCTCTCTCTCTCTCTCTCTCTCTCAGGAAAAAGCTGCATAGATCACAAAAACCAAATCCTTCATGACTGACAGGCAGCTTGTTTCAGAGAACGATGCAACAAAGGATGGGATGGCCACCAGAGGAAGGAAAAAGAGCCTCAAGAATCCCACAAGCTTGACTCTGGTACAAGAGGTACACACGTGACGTCGCACAACACCCTACCAGGCCGCTGTTGTTCATTTAACAAGGACAGTTCTGTAAATTAGTACTTAAAAATAAAACATAGTTTTGCTTTAGAACATCAATGCTTTGTCAGGATCACATGCCAAGGTCTTATGCCCTGATACTCACAAGGCAGCCATTCTCTGACTTTATCCCAGTTAGGATAAAAGACTGAAGAGGAGACCAGGGGACGCCACACAAATAACTCACATTGTAAAAATGGCACCAATCTACTACATGTCCCTTTATAGATTTGCCAAGCTACCAAGAAAGTTCTGTTCATCACAGGGCCCTTCGACATCTTCACTGTAGGTAAAATGGTTCTCCTTTCTCTACTCATACACAAATATAAACACGTGAAACATGCTTGGTAGGAAACAACACAGAGAAGCATGATGGGGGGGAATGGGCAGAAAAACCAACTGGAAGCAGCACTCACTCAATTTTAATACATGTGCAAATTCTACTTCTTTCTAGAAGAGATACAGGAACTGGCATTTTCAAAACACTGTACTCAAGCGTATTTCCAATAATAACTTCCAAAGCTTCAATGAAAAAGATTTGTGCTTATGGGCAAGTGTGAATTCTGAGTGTGCTCTTTTATTTTGCACTGTTCAAAGTGAACTCGGTTTAATGGAAGCAGTATAGTAATAGCTTATGGGAAGGCCACATGTCCCCTTAAGCCTCATCAATCCTCACTGCCTGAGGAGAGGGTCTGGAGTGAAGGTATATGGTGGTGAAGTTTTTAAAAGTTCAATTAATCCCCTCCTGGCAAATCTCCACATCTCACGGAGTTAACTTCCTCTGGATAATCAAGGCTTTGCAAGGTTTAGTTTTGCTATAAATATAAAGTAATTTGCAGCAGAAAAATATAGCCTATCTAAGAAGCTTTTTTTTTTTTTTGGTTGTTGCTCTTCACTGACAAAATTGAGTTGATCAGACACATAAGGGACCACATGTTGTAGACCACTATCAACAGCTCAAATTCCAGCTCCACCTAGACAAAAATGACACAGCCCTTCAGTGTAAATGCTTGTTCCCTTTGCTCCCACAGTGGGAAATTCAAAACATAGTCAAGTGTGCAAGTGGGGTGGGAGGGAGCACAAAGTCTCCTGGGATATGGGGTCGATCTCTAGATAGATCCTTCACTGAATACCACTCTACTATGGGCTCCCTTTCAGTGCAGCCAGAGAGACCAGAGCTGGGGAATGTGAGGACTCTAGGCAATGGGCGGTTACCTTCAGGTCTGTAAGTGATAATACTTAGTAGCATCGCAGCCACTGTGCACTGGCAGAAAGTGAGCCACAGTGTAAATCTGCACAACTTACGTTTTACAGATGGCCATTAGAATTTATTAAACAAATGTTTCTTTTAAACTTGAAAAGAAAAAAATATATATCCATAAAACCCTCCACCAAAAAAATCACTGTTCAAAACAATTTCCTTGTGGGAATGAACTAGTGTGACTACTGAGATGACAGGAACTTGCTTTCAGATTTGAAACTGCTCATCTTCATTTCATTTACAACTTATATCCTACTGTTTAAAAATACAAACAAAAACCCAGAAATGTTTCTAGACCATTCATATGCCTGTTAGGCTCCATTGCACTTCCGTCCTTTAGTTAGAAAAAGCAAGGTCATCTCTGGGGCTGACCTTTAACTGCTTCTGCTAACCATGGTATCCAACCAATGACTACACAGCTCTTGCTGTTTAGGTAGACAAGCATCCTGGCCATATCGTGGTGCTTCTCTTCTTGAATGTGATGTCCTGATTAAACCAATGTCTACACTGTATCGAGGCTTCCGATTGTGCAAAAAACGTTCCCAAGGCATCGAGTAAGCTTGGCTGTGTTAAGGTGTTTTGGGTGCTTGCTTTAGCCGATGCAGACCCTGTCTTGTGTAGTGCACCAGGTCCACCAGGCTGCTGTTGAGGGCCAAGATACACACTTTTGCACTGAGCTGAGCAAAGAATTCTGCAATAAAATCCAAACCAAACCAAGTAAATATACATGCAACATCAAATTAAAATGAAAACACAAACAGTCCAGGTTCCAGAAGTTGTGTCCCATAATACCCTGGGACACATCTACCATATTTTTCTGTAACTGCTTGCTAATTCTTCACAGCCCTCCACTAGAGGCCAGGAACCTTCTGGAGTTGATTCATATCTCCTGCCTAACACGGTGGTTTGCACATTTAAACACCCAATTTATACCCTGCAATCAATGGATGTGTGAGTGGGGAGGTGAGAAAAAAGCTATCAGTTTGCTAAAAAGACAAGAGGCTGTGGGGAAATTTAGAGCTACAGCCCGCTAACCACCTTCTTCCTTCCAATCAGTAAGAAAATTTAATGGTGTTCACCTGGTGTGTGTGAGTGAGAAATCGAGAAGGGGGGGTGTTACTTAGTAGGCACTGGCAGGGGCACCAGCCATTTCTCCTGACTGCAGCTGTTCTCAAACCTGAGAGTATCCAGGGCCTTCTTCCCCAAACAGGTCTCAATAACATTACCTATGCTGTATTTCTTGAGGTGCAGCTAGCCATCTTAACATACATGGCAGCTTCCAAGTGGACAAACTCGGCCCTGGGATTGTATTCCTTCCTGTCTCAAACATGCTGAGCCTCAGAACAGCCAGCCAGTGACTTTCCGCCTTCAGTTGTGCCTCTTTGCCTGCATTTCGGTTCAGACTGAAATGATGTGAGAATTTGTTAAGAAGGGTGGGTGCTAAAGCTACTTCTAATTTGGTTTGGCTGAGATCTAGCCTCAGAAATCCAGCTCACACCACAGAGCTCAAGGAAGCTCTACAAGTAGGTTATGAGGCAGAAAGAACATGCAAAGGGTAGCTCTCCATTTCCTTCTCCATGAGACAGAACATAAACACCAACCACCACTTCCTCCTCGCCTCCTTGCCCCACTGAGGACCACCACAGAGCCCCTTACCTTTATTCTTCCTTGTTAGGGCCTCAGCCTGTTCCCAAAGTTCAAAGGCCTTAAGGACATGGTATGTGATGGTGACATAGGAGGAGGTCATGTTCTGGATGGTGACTGGGGTACTGATAGTTGCAGCCACCCCACTGCTCCCCATACTGCCAGCGTTCGACTGGGACCCTATGGAGCTGGCAGGAGAAGGCACTGGGGAGAGGGGGGATGGTGCGCCTGTGCTTCTGCAAGGATGGAGAGAGAATCCATTAATCATGTAAATTACCAGACCACAGACTGCAGCCTCTGGAACTGCAGTGTAGGCCACAAAGTTTCAGGGTGCACTCACCAAAACACCTATCACTGCTAACTCCTTGAGGATCAGAGAGACACCCTGGAAGATTAACCTGTATTCACAACACACTTTCCTGTGCCTTTGCAAAGTCATCTTCCTGTGCTGAAAATCCCTCCCTCTTCCTATGGCCAATTCCTACTGATACATTAAGACAATATCAGTAATTCTCCAGTACTAAGGATTGAATCACACATGCTAGGCAAATACCACTGGGCCACACCTCCAGCCTGCATTTCATTTTCTCTGCCAATTAGTCAACAGTAAAGCAAGCACCTGCTTGGACCTGACTCTCTGACACTGTGGATATATCACAGCTCCCTCTTGGCTGTCACTTGAACATCTCTTTCCATGCATTTATCTTCCTTTCCTGGGTCATAGCACCAAGAAAGTAGAGTGCATGTCTCACCAGTTTTTGCCTTATAGACACTTTGCACAGTAGGTGTTAAGTGTGGACTCTTAAAAAAAAAAAAATCTCCTGCTGAATCAATGATCAAAATACACAAAATTCAAAATAGACTAGCAGGAAACCAGACAGAGTTCTCATGTATCAAGAACCTCAATCCCCTCTCATTGCTACCCTTGGCTGAGTATCTGGCCCTGCAAGTTCACATGACTCAATTGGATCAAAGGAGAAAAACAAAGAAAATCACTGAAGTATGATAAAAGATGGAAAGATGGAGACAGTGGCTGACACAGGATCAGAGCTCTCATTTTCAAAGACTAGAGAGAAAACATCCCAGGGCAGGCTCTGGGCCAGTTTGGTTACCACTGTATCCTAGCATCTGTGAGGTTTGGTGTGAAGAAGGTGCTTGAGCTGGACAGATGCTAAAGGACTTACTTAAAATCACACAACAGGCACCTTATTCCCTTGGACTAAGATGTTTCTAATTAGACCTTTTATTTATTTTTTCTTTTTTTATGAGGCCACATAGGAGTCTCTTCTTTTGAACTGTGGGAAATGGGGCCATTTTATAAGTAGTGCTCTTATAATAACAAGGTCTATCAGAAGTAGAACTTCCCAAAGAAAATAAACAACAAAACAAAAACTGGAAAAACACATGGGAGCTGTGGTACACAAGCTCAGAAGGTGGCGATACAAGGATGCCAAGCTCAAGACCCTGTCTCAAAGAAAATAAATGGCACTAGACAAGGACATGAGGAAGGGCATTCCCACATTCATTTTCATCTTACAAACAACAGTCCCAGGATTCTATTTTTCAAATCAGCATGGGTGAGCAGTTTCCATTCACAATATAGGGGAATAATTTCGCTAGACAATGACTGTTCCATTCTTAGTACTACTGGTATGGGTTCTGGAGATGGTGAAGTACATATGGTCCTGGAAAGTTCTTGCTTATTGAAATGTCAAGAAGACATGTCAGGGAGAGGGAGAAGGGACACCTGCTTTGGTCTGTTGGTTTGCTTCTAGTCGTTTTGTGCCCTTAGATGTGATCAAAACATCTTCGAATCTCTTATTCTCTGTAATCGTACTTGCCCCCTCTTACAGCTTACTCATTGCAAACTCAGTTACCTGCAGCGAGTCATGGCCTGAACATCTCGGTATTCATCTTGACTAAAAAAAGAAGCCACAGTCTCATACAGTCTCTTCACTGAAGTGCATCATTAAACTTGATCCACCAGTTACTTTAATTTCTTTCTCTTTTTTCACAGCCACTGTTGGCAGAGCTTTTGTTTTTTTTTTTAATTTATTATTTTTATTTTATGTATATGCATGTATTGCCTGCATGTAGGTAAGTGTACCTGTGTGGTTCAATGCCTGAGGAAGACAGGAGAGCTAACAGTTGTTAGCTGCCATGTGGGTGCTGGAATTCAAACCTGGGTCTTCTGCAAGAACAGACAGTGTTCTTAACCACTGAGCCATCTCTCCAGCCCCTGTTATAGAGCTTTTTAAATATTTTATTATTTTTATGTGTATGAGTGTATTGCCTGCATGTGTGCAACTACACTTGCGTCATGCAATGCCCAAGGAGGTCAGAAGAGGACATCAGATCCCCTGGAACTGGAGTTACAGACGGTTGCTAGCTGCCATGTGGGTGCTAGGAATCAAACCTGGGTCCTCTGCAAAAGTAGTCAGCATTCTTAACTGCTTAGCCATCTCTCCAGCCCCCTGTACCTTTTATATTATCCAATCAACCAAATTCTTTATAATTCCTTCTCAAAAGGATGGAAGTAGTTAATGGGACAAATGAGCAAAAAGATGAATCATACAAATTTTGAAATATCCAAAGTCACATACTCACAAAACTGCAAATAATGATGAAAGCGCATGTAATTTAATTAGACTTACAATTACCTTGCAATGCACGGTGAAGGAGCCTGAGCCACTTTGGAAGAACTCTTGAAGTGTTCGTTAAGGGTACGAGAATACTTCATTACTAGGTCTTTTTTACAGCGGAACATTGCCATCCTCAAAAGAGACTGGCAACGCAAACTGTGATTACAAACAAAAGTTAGCATGAATTGTGGATGACATCATGGACAGGATTCCTGGTACCAGACAAACAGCCAATCAGCCCTTATTAACGCACTGTGTCGTCTTCTCCATGTGAGGAAGCTCATCTAAGCAACTTATTGCCCTGTTCTTTGGTGACTGCACTATCACCAGAGTAAGTATCGGTAGGAAAACATGAATGCACAAACTCATCACTTAACTCCTAACACCAGAGCATCTCCCAAGGCATCAGGAGAACAGAAGCAGCTATCAATCATCCCAGAATGATCCTGAGGCAGGTTAACTTCCCTCTGGCCATGATTTTCACATTAAGAAAACAAATTTCAAAATCTTTTTTAAATCAAAGAAACAAAAACAAGCTTAGTGCTACTTATACCAATGAAAAATATACATACCATAAAACAGCAAATATTTTCTCTTGTGTTGGTGTTGTGGCATCTGAGAAGGATTTCAGTGACATTGTAAATCTACAGGGAGATGCAAAAGTACATCAGTTAAACAAAGGAGTTTAAGGGATCCCAAGCACACAGGCTAGGCCTAAGCTGGATCAATCCCTGATCTTTTGGAAAGCATGAAGAGAAGTGCAGCACAGAAAAGAGAGAGGGGTCAGGAGCAACACAAGGCTGCTGGGAAGACCTGGCCCCTAAGGCTGCCTGCCTGCAGAAGCCAAGGCTGGCCACATCCTCATTCAACTTCCTGATGAAATGCAGGGAAAATACACCCAAGCAAGAGGGTATCTGACCGGAAAAACCACCCTCCCAAGACTTGGCGTTCTTTGCAGAACAACTGGCAAAATTATATAGTTGGATCCAGTAATTCTGTGCTAGCAACCTATCTAGAACACACTTAGATTAAGGACAAGAAGAAATCGTGAACCAGTAACTTTTTTCAGTCCTGGGAACAAAGCCAGGGTCTCATGCATGAACTGCTACAGAGCTACATTTCCAGTCCCAGGAATTTTTCCAAGACTTCCCCTTAAGTTGTCTTCACACGAAGGTTCAAATGGAGTAAAACAGAGGTGAGAAGAGAGGCAGACTTGGAAGGGTGGCAGAATGCCCGAAAACTCACTTAATAAGATCTACAGTTTCTGAATACAGAGAGTAAGCTGACTTTGACGCTGAGCTTTCCGACTCCATGGCGATCCCGCACTCAATAAAGGACAGGACAGCTTCCAAGTATTTAAAGGCCTTTCCAACCTTATCTGTCTGTAGGAGGAGAACATGGGCTTTGTTAGGCCAGAGACAGCACTGATTGAGTTTCTATCCACATTCTTCATTGTAACTTTTCTCCACTGTCTTATTTTACTACTGGTTAGAGATGTGTGAGAATGAATAAACAGAATAAGATGAATAGCCAGTAGCTGTCAGCTCTGACTTGCTGAAAACTCTTCCAGCAAAAATTCATTGGGAAAAAAGAATTCCGTATTAAGACTACTCTCTCAAAACCTTATGGAAATATTCGTTTAAACTAAGGCATTAACAGCTATAATCACTTATTAGATACCTTTGAGAAAAAGAAGAGTCATTGCATCTAGCCTAACAGACATTTTCTTTATAGGTATTGAAGTTTATCTTCTTATAGTAGAAAAAATACTTAAAAGCATCTTAGATAAAATACCTAACAATAATCTTTTGGTTCATTTAGAGCCAGTAGATTAATCTTTGGCGCCTTGGTATGGTATATAAGGTTATCTATCCTCGGGGCCAGCAAACTCTCAGAAATCCCTTCAAGGAAATGTGGAAATGTATGTGAAATCAGATATTAGTGGTCTCCCAAATCCTCAATACACATTTGGTCACTTAATCTTTCTCTTACTAAGTGGCATACAACCAATTCAGTGAATAAGAAATGTGGTAAATGGCTCATAGTCTCTGAACATGGCATATGCACCACACACTGAGAGCAGCTGATCAACATGGGTCAGCTTGTAGTTTTCGCCAATGCTTTCAATTTGCTATGTTCATAAAGGGAGAAAACAGTAAAGATTCACATGGAATACAGAAGTCGGTGATGCATCTTAGGCTACTCTAGGTTTACATGGGCTGCTGCTGCACTCCAGGGGTGTGGAAAACAGCTTTTCCATTCAGTGAGGTGCACTGTTACTGCAATGTGCATCTTACTGCTACTGGTGTGGACAGACCCAAACATGCATACTTACATTTCAGAATACTCAATCTTATTACTCTAAATTTTTTTTTTTGGTCTTTTTTTGAGACAGGGTCTCCCTGTAGCCCCAGCTGGCCTGAAACTCACTATGTAGACCAGGCTGGCCTTGAACTCACAGAGGTCTGCCTGCCTCTGCCTCCCGAGTGCTACTCTAAAATTTTTAGCTTTTAGAACTGAATAATAATTTTCCTAGAAAGCCTAAGCTCAGAAGATTAGTGACAAAAAGAATAAAAGTCAACACATGGTGGCTAATAACCATCTGAAACTCCAGAGTTCTACGGAATCCAAAGCCCTCTTCTGGCCTCCAAAGGTTTTCACACACATGACACATTTTATATATATGCAGGCAAAACAACCATATACATAAAGTAAAAATAGGTAAGTCAAAAAAAATTTTTTAAAGAAGGGCTGGAAAGATGGCTTGGTGGTTATGAGCAATGGCTGAGGACCTGGGTTCTGTTCTCAGCACCTACATGGCAGCTAACCACCACTGATAACTACAGCTGTAGGTGATCTGATGCCCTCTTCTGGCCTCTGTGGGTACTGTATGGCACAGATACACATACATGCAGGTAAAACACTCAAATATAAAAAAATTTTAAATCCATAAAAATTAAAAAGATTGAGGGGCTGGAGAGATGGTTCAGTGGTTAAGAGCACTGACTGCTCTTGCAGAGGACCTGGGTTTGAATCCCAGCACCCACATGGCGCTACAAACCGTTCTTCACTCCAGTTCCAGGGGAATCTGAAGCCCTCTTCTGACCCCCGAGGCATTGCATGACAAGGGTGCACTCACATACATGCAGGCAATACACTCATACACATAAAATAAAAATTAAAAAGGTTGAAACTATTAGGATGTTACCAAATTAGAATAATTTTAAGAAAGAATAAAGGTCAAATTCATATGCCTTAATCAGCTATATAGGTTATGAAAGGTTTGCTTCACTGGTGGGACTCGAATTTTCAAATTTGCTTATTTAAAACAAGTTCTCTCAGGGAATTTCCAAAATTTCCTTAGGATAGAAACAAAAGAGGTATCATATAACAATTAGTCAATATCCACTTCCTTAGTATTTGACAAGGCTAATGACAGCAATACCCCTGTTAGTCATAAGTGTCCTGAAACAGTGTTCAAGAGTACAGCCCGAATCTCCTCAGTGAGTATCGGTGGAATGATGAAGGATGCTCTTTGGCACTTAGCTGTGCATGTCACTATCTGATGCCAAATGAACAGCTCTGCAAACATAGGCAATTGAGAGAACATGGTAACTAGGCATTGCGGTACTTGACTATAACCCCAACACTCAGGAACCTGAAGCAGGAGGATGGCCTCATGTTTGAGGACAGTCTGGACCCTGAATCAAAAGGCAGAGGAGGAGGGGGATGCTACAGAGCCATGAAGAGGGTGGTCATACAGGCCAGTACCCAAACTGGCAGATTCTAAAGGCAAAATGGGACAACGATTTCTCAAAATGAGATGCAACTGGCATAAATCAGGGTTTTCCTGGCACACTTGTAATATACATCACCTTATGTAGAAAGAAAGACAATACATCTGAGTATAAGTTAAAAGCAATACAAAACTCTCTGGAGTATTAACCTTTAACGAATAACAAGTGACCCAAAATGCTGAAAGTATCTAATATCAGGGTGTTTTTTATACTTGCCTACAGTGCAAACTAGCCCTTCCCAGACTTGTAAGAGTCATACTGCTCCTGTAGCATTTTGGAAAGCGGAGCGGAGGCAGTCAAGAGAACGCCACTGCTTGGCACAGCCTGAGCTGGCACATAGTCCTGGCACAGGGCAGTTTCAGGGCAAAGGTCAGAGGTGCTCTTGCCTCTTACCTTCCTCACAACACCCAGCATGGGAAGTGACCAAGGACCATTTTATCTGATGAGCAGGGGACCTGCTATCGAGTACTGTGCCCTTTTCCAAAGAGTCAGAGAACAGCCTGAGGTAGAAAGGCACAGGGCAAAGTACCAATGGCCATGAGGAAGCAGCTGAAGTAGGTGACAACAGGCCTTGCAAGGACCAATAGGTCTGTGTGTGGATGAATAGGGGAAACATTTCAGGGAGGTGCATGTGTTTGAGGGGGCTTAGGTCTGAGAACACCCAGCAAATTAAAGTTCTAGTGTCTTCAAGGCTTTAATATGACAAAGAGGGTCAGTGAGATGGCTCAGGAGGTAAAAGCACTAGCCACCAAGTCTGATGACATGAGATGGATCCCTGGCATCCACATGACAAAAGGAGAGAAGTGGACTCCCAAGCTGTCCTCTGAATACATATAGCACAGCCCCATGAAATGCTTAGTAGCACCTATACCTTATTTTCTGCCCTTAGTTAACTATACCTTCAGCTCATTCTTTAAGATCATTTTGGAATGCAAATAGGCTTTTTCACATTGTAAAATGTGAAGGGTGAGCACAGACGGGCTGATTTTCAATAACTTATTTTTCATTTCCAAAGATTCGATTTACTGAGACAAAAAAGCACTCTTAAAATAAACCACCATTTGTAATTGATCAACCTCCATTCATTTAGATTTTTTATAAATCTGCCCGTGATCAGACTGAATCAGTGGAGCCAAAGAACACAATCCCACTAAAACACCTTATAGCCTAGTCATTAAGACCCTGATTATCCTGCTTATACTGTGGTCAACAATGGCCACATACTCCTTCTGGCCCCATCCCCAGAATCTCCCCCACAGCCCTCCTCCTGCTGTCCCCCCGACAGCCCTCTTCCTCGCGCTGTCCCCCACACACCCTCCTCCTGCTGTCCCCTCCCCAGCCCTCCTCCTGCTGTCCCCCCCACAGC